GTTCAGGATGGAAGGGTGAATGCCTTGTATTCTACTCCCTCTATTTACACTGATGCCAAAAACGCGGCAAATCAGTTGTGGCCATTGAAAACCGATGACTACTTCCCGTGAGGATCTTCCATTGTTTTGTCTGCAATGAAGTTTGTGATTTGTTAACTATTTATGCACATATTTCTGGTGATTTCTTATAGGTATGCTGATGGACCATATGCATATTGGACAGGCTTTTTCACTAGTCGCCCGGCCTTAAAACGATATGTTAGATTCCTAAGTGGATATTATTTGGTACGATTTTAATGTTCTATACAAAATGAAGTTAAGTGAATTTTTCTTGTTTGTGCTCGAGCATTCTTAACAAGTCCATGATGACATTTGTAACCTCCGACATTTTGATGCAGGCCACGCGTCAACTTGAATTTTTCGCCGGAAAACAATCGACTATATACAATACTTTTGACCTTGCAGATGCTCTAGGAATTGCACAGCACCATGATGCTGTCTCTGGAACTGCCAAACAACATACAACTGATGACTACGTGAAACGTTTGGCTATTGGGGCCTCTAAGGTCAGGAACTTGAACTTCTCTAGAGTTAAAAAATTTTAAATTATGGTATGTGTTTGACATTTGTTTATATGATTAATTAGTTTTTTAAAAGTGCTTATTATGCCTTGCAGGCTGAAGCAGTTGTTAGCTCTTCTTTGGCATATCTTGTAAGTAAGCAATCTGGCGATCAAAGTTCAGCAGTTGCATCAACATTTTCCGAGGTAGTGTTTCAAAAGAATAAAAGGAAAAAGAAAAAACGTAAATTTTTTTGAAGTTGATCCTATCATAGTTCTTAATTTTTCCAATTATTACTGGATTTTGGCAGTGTCAATTACTCAATATCAGTTACTGCCCTCCAACCGAAGACAATATTCCAGAAACTAAAGATTTGGTAATATTTTTATAATAGTTTGTTGAGCATAAATTTATGGTGGTTCGATTTTATGTTACATATTTTAATGATTTGTATCCAGGTAGTGGTGCTATATAACCCTCTTGGATGGAATCGTACTGATATCGTCAGAATACCAGTAAGAATACATTATTTTCTCGTGACATCATCAAATACAACATTTCCAATATCATGCTAAAGGCGATGATTTGCATCAGGTTAATGAAGCTAATCTTGCAGTCAAAGATTCATCTGGAAACAACCTTGAAGTACAATACGTGGACGTGGACAGCGTTACAGCAGATTTAAGAAGATTTTATGTGAAGGCCTATTTGGGATTATCTCCGAAAAAAGCCCCAAAATATTGGCTTCTGTTTCAAGTGTCAGTACCTCCACTTGGTTGGAGCACATACTTCATTTCTAAGGCAACTGGAAAAAGTAAGTTCCAAATGTTCTGTGAGAGTCGCTGATATTGATTTTCGTTTAATAATTTTCGGTACTAAATATGATTTATGGATGTTTCCACTTGATAGCTACAAGGAGAAAGGGAGACCTCTCACACCTCAACAATAAGAAGGGTGAGAACATTGAGATTGGACCTGGAAGGTTAAAGATGTCATTTTCTTCAACCTCTGGACTACTCGAACGGATGTATAATTCCAAAACTGGAGTAAGAAAATTTTCATGTTCTTACACCTCGTAAGAATTTTCACAATTTTGTGTTAACCGGGTTGCTTTTCATGATAAATTGTCAGTGGAACTAGTGTCCCCTTCACAGAATATAAAACTGCTAAATTTTCTATTTTGACATAGATCAGATTTTAACTTAATGCCGATCAAATCATCAATTTTAGACTTTCATATATAGATAGCTATTGTTGTTATGAACTTTTGAGTTTTTGTGTGTCTGGTTGAGTATAAATTATGTTGACTTCATATACAAGGAATCACTTAAGTTCTATAGATTTCAATGCAAATCAAGTGTGTTCAAGACATAGCTTTGTCGCTTAGGTTTAAATTTATTGCTTAACATGAAGACACATTTCTAAACGAGTAGGAGAGAAAATGACATGATTTTAAAATTTCTCAGGTAAATATACCAATTCAGCAAAACTATCTTTGGTATGCCTCTAGTGAGGGTGATCTTAGTGATACTCAGGTGAGTGATTTCCTTGCACGTATCAATTTAAGAACAAAATCAAAATATTATAGCGAATGCTTCAACGGTGTGATTTCTTTTTTAGGCATCTGGTGCATATATATTCCGCCCAAATGGATCCTCTCCGCATATTGTTTCAAGATCGGTAAGTTACTATCTTTAATCAGTTAACCTATTTCACGGGGTAGATAGCATACGAAGTGTGATTATATATCTTCTCAACAGACGATAAGAAGCTGACAAAAAGTTCCAAATTATCTTAGGTTTTCTATTGTTCGTGTTCTCAGACTTTCGTTCGAATTTTATATTTATTGTATGGATACATTTATGATTTATTTGATATGCAGGTGTCTCTCAAGGTAGTTCGTGGACCTCTAGTTGACGAGGTTCATCAGACATTTAGTTCTTGGATTTACCAAGTAAGTAACTTGTATGTTAAGTTACCAATTTAGACTACTAATGGGAGTGATTTAATATTGAAAATTTTCACATTTATTAATAGTACTAATTAAATATACCGAAATAGCTAAAAACTTAATAGCTTTGTTTACTTTTTTTAGGTTACTAGGCTGTACAAGGGCAAAGACCATGCAGAGATTGAATACACTGTAAGTCACCATGTCTCGCCGACCACTCTTATGTCTTAATACTATCCAAAAAATAACAAATAAAGTTCTGAAAGAAACTTATATATGAAGATTGGTCCGATTCCTGACGATGATAGAATTGGGAAAGAGGTAATCACAAGAATGACAACAAATTTGGCCACAAACAAGGAGTTTTATACTGATTCTAATGGAAGAGATTTTCTGAAACGGGTAACATTCATACATTGTCTTATGTTTATTATGAAATCTTATGGGGATACAATACTTATATGACCTAAAAAAATTCCAATGCAGGTTCGAGATCATAGGGAAGATTGGCCACTTCAAGTTACTCAGCCTGTATCAGGAAACTACTATCCAGTAAAATTCTTTCACTGTATTAATTTTGATTTTATAGTCTTTGATTAAGTTGATATAGTTATAAGGTGACATGAAAACTATATTATAAATTTATAATATTTGTCCAGCTCAATCTCAAAATTAACTAATTTTTTTGTCACCAGCTCAATCTTGGGATTTATACCAAGGATAAGAAATCTGAATTCTCAGTCTTAGTTGATCGTGCCACCGGTGGATCCAGCATCAAAGATGGTGAAGTGGAATTGATGCTTCATAGGTATCTAACTAAATTTTCATTCTCTATTTCAATATTATTGTATTGCATACAAACTATTGACAGTAAATACTACTCAAGGCGCCTTTTCAATGACGATGGTAGAGGAGTAGGGGAACCACTCGATGAAGATGTTTGCACACAGTATGTTAATGTTACATGTGAAGGACTAAAAGTATGGCAGTTTCACCCAATAGTTTACATTTTTATGCATCTTCCATGTTTTCCTCTCTTCTGTCTCTGTATAGCTAATAGATTTTTTATCACCTTTTTTTCTGCTGTATCTAATTCTACATAGGTAAGAGGAAATTACTATATCAGCATTGACAACATCGGAGCTGGTTCACACTGGCGTCGTACAACTGGTCAAGAAATTTACTCACCACTCTTGTTGGCTTTCACACATGAGGTTTGGCAGACTTAATTTTTGGTACATCATAGACTAATAATCTTATGAGATCTTATGACTAAAAGTTAGATCTTATGAGATATTTAATTGACCAGAATGCGGAAAATTGGAAGTCCTCTCATTTGACCAAAGGAACTGTCATGGATCCAAATTACAGCTTGCCTCCTAATGTTGCATTGATAACTCTCGAGGTAGATCAATTGCAGCTCATAAATGTTATATCTCTCTTAACTCTCTCTCACCCTCTATCATTAACTTGAATGTTTTTTAGGAGTTGGATGGTGGAATTGTTCTTCTCCGTTTGGCACATCTATACGAGGTAAATATATGAAAATTATTATCATCCTCTTTGTATTTACCTTCATAGTTTTCAGATGAACCAACCCAAAGTAGTGTATTACCAAAGTTCAATATTAATCATGTACCAACTCTTGTATTTAATACATATTTTCATAGTTCTAAATCATGATACTCCGGAAAAATGCCAACACATGCAGCCCGATGCACTTTGTGGATTGCTATTTAGAACCACGTGTGCGTTAGTGTTATTAAGTTGTAATAAGTAACTAACTAACTCTTTATCACGGCTATATATTGGTTCTAATATAGTTCTCGTGTTTGTGGCTATTATAGGAAAGTGAAGATGCTCAATATTCAACTCTAGCCAAAGTTGAACTGAAAAAGTTGTTTGCCACAAAAACGGTACATATTTAACTTGTCTTTGGGATGCATATACTTTCTTAGACTAGCTTAATTTGGATTAAGTTTTCTTTCGTTGATGCAGATAAAGGAGTTGAAAGAGGTAAGCTTATCAGCTAACCAAGAGAAGTCAGAAATGAAGAAGATGACATGGAAGGTTGAAGGGGACAAAGGACAAGAACCTCAAACAGTCAGGGGAGGTTTTATCAGCACTTCAGATTTTGTTGTCGAGCTTGGTCCTATGGAAATTCGGACTTTTCTGTTGAAGTTTTAAGAACTAGAGTCTCAAATCCTCATTGATGTTTTTTATTTCAAGAAATAAACCCGTGTCTCTCTATTAAATTGGCGTGTTCTACGTCTGATTGCAAAGAGCACAATAATATGTGACTTCTACAAATAAAGTGTCCCATATTATCAATAAATAATCTCATGTTTCTTTAAGCATACCTCCGTACGACAAAAATTGTTTGGAAGTACACTTTCAGACGACATAAAATTAGTGTTTTTTATCGATGTAGACTTTCTAGAACCAATCCTTTGTTAGCATTATCATATCCTATTCTCATTTTTCAGATGTCAAGGTTTCTCTCTTGTGAGTGAAAGAATGGTAGATTCCATCAGTTTAAAGTCAATTGGCTTTGTTAAATAAGCATCCATGCCCACTTCCAAACATTTGGCCTCATCGCATGACATTGCATGAGCTGTAAGAGCAACGATTGGAATGTGGAATCCAGTTCCCACTTCTGATTTTCTTATTTCTTTTGTTGCTTCATATCCATCCATCTTTGGCATCTGCTTTTTTCATAAACACGGTGTGAATCAGGAAATAATTTGTATCTTGTAAATAAACACTTATATGATTACTGTTTGTGTTAAAAGTGTTTTTTTTTTTTTAATTAAGTTGTATAACCGAACATGGCCTAAATTTATTCAAAAGTAAAACATTGCATGTTTTACACTCATACCTGACAATCCATAAGGATCAAGTCGTATGAAGGGAAACTTAGAATCTCAGTTTCAGATGTTCTTGTGTTTCTATAATTTTCAACACCAATCGTGCCGTTTAGAGCATCCACCGCCTGTTGCCCGTCACCTACAGCAACAACAGTGGCTCCCATTTTTTCAAGCATTATGGTCGCAACCCTTTGAATTACGGCTGTATCTTCTGCAAGCAATATCCTCAGACCTTCAAGAGACTTATTTCCTTTTATAGCTTTACTTGAACCACTAACCTTTTTCGTTTCACTGCCTTCAGAATCTTCACCTTTTGCTCTTGTTTCACTACCTTCCATACATTCATTACTTAATCCTAATAAGCTGTTACTTTTTTGGTATATCGAAGTTTGATTGAATCTAAGTACCTCTTTTCTTTGCTTATCTCCATTGGCAGTACCAAGATTAGAACTACCGATTTCAGATATGTCAGAGCCATCTGAGCTTCCAACATCACAATGAGTATAATCAATCTCTAGACTCTCATGCAAATCGCCTTTTTTCACAGTGAATCTTGAAGTAATCATATTTTGCTTTTGTGCCTCAACATTTCTTTCATTTATCACGGCTTCCAAAATATGTACCATTTTTGCTTTGTAAAGAGGTTTGTTGACAGTTAGTATTCTTCCTTTCTTGCGAAGCTCCGTCTTTATGGTATTGGCTGAGTCATGGTTATGCAACCATATGAATTTCGCTCTGCCGTAGTACTTGTGAAGGAAGTTAAGTTGTTCCTTCCATATATCTGTGCTCAAGTCAAGTAGATCAATATCAACAGCAATGACAAATGTCGGGTTTGTCAATTCCTGTATGCTCAGAAATTTGGATTTCAGAACCTCATGAGCTTGATAAGGTACATCAAAGTCGTTGTTATTATGAATTGAAGTTCTTTCATGAAATAGTTCTCTTAGAATTTGTGTTAATCCATTCCATTCAGATGCTTCCATAGTGACAACGCCGTTTGTCTGTAACCACTTAGACGTAATTAACCGACTCATGTTGCCATGTAATGCAAGAAGTACCTGCATTGATTTACACTTCTTATTTAAGGTTCTTCTTATTATCTATGCAGTCAACTCAGTGAAGTGCCAGGGTGATTCTACTACTCACCACTAAGCCGTTGTTAGCGAAATCTACTTGACAGTGGTCTTGTGTGGCATCCACGGGTGCGTTGAGATGCAGGTATAATCGCATTAGTGTTCCTGGCCCCTCCTTTTTGACAATCTTGATTTCTCCACCCATCTTTTTTACCTGTCATCAAAGAGTAATAAGATCGTGATTTTCTTGCTCGTACATGCAACTGATATAAGCCTCAACTATTAAATGGTCTTACTCACCAAGGATCTGACAATGCAAAGACCAAGACCAGTGCCTCCATGCCTAAAATGGAAAAGAAAAAAGTTTAAGAGCTCATTATATCTTAAATAAGTGTTGATTTGGTCCCACGAAGGTGATTAATTACTCGCAGACTTGTATAGTTTTTGTTAAATATTTAAATCACTTACAGTCTAGTAGTTGATGGATCAGCTTGCTCAAAGCTTTCAAACACAGAATCCCATTTACTTGGGTCAATACCTGCAAATTCACAGTTGATATGAACTACAAAAAAATTGTTATCCACAAAAATGTCGAAACTTGTGAAGCAAATCATTATGATTTAGCCTTAAACTGTTTTTTCTTTTGCCACAAAAGGGACAGTTTTCGATGCTGTTTTTCTAGACTAGTTTTTTTGGCTCATACCACAACCCGTGTCATCGACTTCAAACCAAATTATCATTTTGTTATCACTATTAGAAGCCTTCTTTGCATGGTTTTCATGTTGCTTCGTCCTGGTCTTCGGGGAACACCCCCATTTCTTCGGCTCTGGGGTGAAATTTTCATTATCACCATAAAAATTCGAGTTTCCACACCATCCTCTCAGAATAATGTGACCCGCTGTAAATCAATTGAAAGAGTTAGGATTAGTCTTCCATCAGAGTTTCAGTACTTCATTGATACCATCAGAATAATGAATATTGACATGGACATTACTGTATAGAAAACTATTTATTTTTAACTTACATAGAGTAAACTTGATTGAGTTGTTGATCAAATTTGCAAAAATTTGAACTACTCTAGCAGAATCTCCCCGAACTAGCTTTGGCATATCGTCTGCGGAAAATTAACTAGATGAATCAGAAACTTTTAGAGGTTTACAATCACAAATCTTATGCACCAAAAATAAAGATTCATACCAGAAAGGTCTAAAATAATTTCTACAGTATGGTTAATACATTGCACAGAAAACATATCTACAAGCCCTTCAAGTTCCCTTCCCAAGTCAAATTCTGCATCTTCTAAGACAAGTTTTCCAGATTCCACCTATGTGCTATAAGATATTAGATGTTTTGCCACAACAGTTGTTTGAGAAAAACCTTAGCTTATATCTCACCTTGCTTAGATCCAAGATGTTATTGAGTAAACGGAGTAATGTGGTTGAGCATTTTCTTATTTGAGTAACGGTCGCACATTGTTCATTTGTGAGATGATCATCAGACAAAAGAATGTCGAGTAATCCAATTACTGCGGCCATCGGTGTCCTCAGTTCATGACTGTAATGCATCCAAGAAAAATCTATGAAGAGCAACACTTGTGAACACACAAGAAAAACCATGTATTATTGATCTTAAGTAATGTGGTCTATAGTGACACTGAATCAAAAAAGCCAACCTCATATTTGCGAGAAATTGACTTTTATAGTTGCTCGATGCCTCCGCCTTTCTTCTTGCTTCGAGATGACTGATTAATTCTGCTCTAAGGTTCATTTCCTTTGATACTCCATCTGTCAATATCAAAATGCAAAAACATCCAATGACAATAATACACAATGATGCCGATATTAGAATAACCAATGTTTTGAAGGCTCTTTCATCTGCTTGCCCCATGATATGCTTCCTCGGTAAGATTATTACGCCCACCTGCACAAAAGTTAAGCCAACCAAAATGTATAAATACATTATTAGAGCAAATATAAGGAACAAGTGAAGTGTCCTAAAATTGTACCAGAGGAAGCCTTTTTAAGTTCAGGTAGAACGAATCGATGTAATATTGCTGGCGACCTAGCCTGGCGTTCTCTACGTGAACCTCATGGCTTGGAGGGAAATCGTTCCCGTAGGTTTTTTGTAGCCACTGTGCTCCCTCTCTTATTACTTCATTATCACAGTCAACAGCCATTTTAAGCTTAGGTTCCTTTCTTGAATTTGTCAGTAGAGGGTCATTTGTCGAAGTTGCAAGCAAATAGCCTTTTTGCGAGGTCAAATATATATGACCACTGTGTTTGTCAACTAATTCCTTCATCAACTGTCCTACACTATAAAGTGCAGTTGTTACTCCCACAACTGCAACAATGTTCTTATTAGAAGAATCCCAAACTGGCAATGCTGCTGAGAGTAATGGTGAATCCGTAAACTTGTTCACAGAAACGTTCCATGAAGCTACACCGTCGGGTACTTGGGACAGACCAGCTATGCTTATAGAGTTTTCTGGTGCAATTTTTATTGCTTTTCCGATCTTCTCACCGCTGACAGGATCAAGCTGTTCTCGGTACCAAATCACAGACTTGTTGCTATGAACTTCTTCGTCATTCGAAATTCCATCATATGCTGCAAATGAATTGGTCTCATTATATGCAAGATCAGTGTAAATGTAAAAAGTATTATTATCCTTTAAGTCTCTATGAAATGCCTGGACAAAACCGTTGTTATATTTGACAGTTATCGAGTTGAGAGCTTTTCGACTAGCAAACAGTGCCCATGTTACGGCCCTCATGGATTCATACATCTGCCACAAATTGGAATAAATAAGTAATTAGAACAGCAATCCCGATTCAAAAGAAAACAATTATTAAAACTCAACCTGAACTTTTTCTGCTTGATTGGCTAGGTTACTATGGCTTCTGATAACATACTCCGACAACTTAACTTGAGCAGTTGTGATTTCAGCAGTAGTGTTCAAAATGTTCCACATCCTCAAGATCGGACGTTGTAAAAGTTCGTAACGTAGGTCATAAGCAAGACTATTTAGAGACTTTGTTGTATAAATCTTTGTGAAATGCCATGTTAGGATAGTGAGTAGACCAATCAAGATAGCTAACATAACCTAAATAGATCAAAACAACGATTTATTAATCCATATCAGTTGATTATTTATCTGTCTTCACAACAAAGGGTCTATTCTAATTGCTATAACAGAAAATCTTGTACTAAAGTAAGAACATAAACACACAAAAATTAAAAAATGTAATCATCCAAGGAAAAATGAACTAACCATGATTGCTAGGCGAACCACGAAGACACTGTAATAGGATGAGAGACACTGAGTACTTGCAAACTGAAATTCTTCTTCTTTCTCCACATCCCTGTGGAATTTTCTTCTGCTAGTTGGTGTGCTGTTTTTATTCCAAGAAGTGGGAAAACACAGAAGCAAACTATCAAAAACGTGCATGCACTTGGTAGCCATGATAGGAGAATTTGAACATGCAGAAGTGGTGACACTTGTAACTACTGTTATGTTACTTGAAAGTTGTTATAATGAACTTATAAAGTACCGAATCAACTTGTGTTTTAGACAAAATGGTGTTTATTTATTTGATAATGGTTTCTTAATGAAAATTCTGTGTGGTTTTATATAGATCCAGTGGAATTATTATTATATGGAGAATATGGAGGTAGAAAAAGTGATGGAGAGTTGTGGTGTTTATTGATGATGGCATATATAATTACATTTACTACATTCCTTTTATATGCTGGGGCCTGACTTCGGTTGGCCCAGTTGGAAGGTTGGCATGTTTTGAATCATACATTTTGTGGCTAGTACTGTAGGATGGGAACAATGGGAGGAAAGCACAGCCAATAGAAGAAGCTTCCTATGTTATGGTTTGGATACTCTGAATTTTGTGCTGTCTGTGGGCCTAGACTACTTTGCAATTATTATGATGCTGCTTCTGCCAATAAGCATTAGGATGTGTTTAAGATGCACCTGATTGGACAAACTTTGGACTATGACATTCTTGTGTTGTGCATGAGATGAAGGGCAAGGGAGAGAGAATGTATAATGAGTTTTTGTTGTGATCACAAACGATATCTTTTAATAAATAAATATTGAGAAACAGAGTTTTTTGGTGAACAATGGAAAAACGGTTAGAATAAAGAGAAAAAGAAGAAAGGATAAAGAAGAAAGAAGAAGAAGGATTAGGACAAATTATTTACTATTTACTTTCTCATTTAGGGATTACAAATGAATAACACAATTGGCCTCACTCAACAACCTGAGTGATCTAGCCTATTTATAGACTAACTAGCTAACTTACAAAAAAAGCTAACTAAACAATTGGATCCATAACACAAGACCCAATTCGACATAATATTTTTACAATACATATTAGAACTGACTTCGACTACAATATACAACCCTTCGTCATCAACATGCGAACCATCTTCGACTTCATACTTGTCTCCTATCGAAACACATGAAATCTATTCTTCGAGAGAGTTACAGTTAGAGTTCAATCCAAAATCTCACAAATCTCCACATTGGATTTAACTCAACAAACAGGGAATCAACTAGCTTTCATCATGCAGCTTTATCAACTGCATACAGTGGAAAAACTTGCAACTTGGCAATGTCTTGGTGATCATATCAGCAGAATTGTCATCAGTTAAAACCTTCAGCACTTGGACTTTTCCATGCTCGATTACCTCTCTAACGAAGTACAACCTCACATCGATGTGCTTTGTTCACTCATGATAGGTTGTGTTATTCGACATGTGTATTACGCTTTGACTATCAAATTTAACAGTGATACTTCGACCTTGAAGTTTCAGCTCCTTTGCAAAGCCTTCAAGTCATAATTCTTATTTCACAACTTTAGTGAGAGTAATATATTCAGCTTCAGTAGTTGATAAGGCAACAACCTTCTAAAGTTACTTTCCAACTAATTTTTGTGTCGAACATAGTGAACACATATCCAGAAAGAGACTTTCTGGAATCCATACAACCTGCATAATCAAAGTCGACAAATTCTTCGATTTCGATTTTGCTATCATCACCACAGGCTCCACCATAAATCAAAACTATTTTCAGATACTCATTTATGTACCTAAGAATCCACTTTACAGCTTGCCAGTGCACCTTTTCAGAATTGGCCATATATCTGCTTACAAGACTCAGTCCATACGCTATGCCTGACCTCGTACAGACCATAGCATACATCATATAACCTACTACACTAGCATATGAGATGCTACTCATATAGTTTCTTTCAGCTTCAGTACTCAGACTTTGAGTAGTACTAAGCTTAAACTAAGAATTTGTCGAAGTCACAACAAGCTTTGAATTCGACATACCAAACTTATCGAAAAGCTTTCGTAGGTATGTCTCTTGAGATAAGTACAACTTAGAATGCTTTCTATCTCTTCGGATGTCAATCTCAAGAATTCTAGTGGAAGCTCTCAGATCCTTCATTTTGAACTCCTTACTGAGTTCAGCCTTCACCTCCATTACATCCTCGACATTGTTGCTAGCTATGAGGATATCATCCACATAAAGCAACAAAATAACAAGTGAATTTCTAGGTCAAAATCTGAAGTAAACATAGTTGTCGAACTGTCTTCTAGTGAAATCAATGTGTGTCATGAACTTGTCGAATCTTCTGTTCCACTATCGAGGAGATTGTTTCAGGCCATACAAAGACCAATTCAGCTTGCACACATAATCTTCCGTATCCTTTTCATACACCCTTCAGGTTGACACGTCAGGATTGTTTCGTCTAGGTTACCATACATAAATGTTGTCTTCACATCCATTTTCTCAAGTTCTAGGTCGAACTTCACCACCACGGCTAACAACATTCGAACGGATCTATGCTTTACAATAGGTGAGAACACATCATTGAAGTCGACTCCTTCTTTCTGAGTGAACCCCCTAGCAACCAACCTTGTCTTAAAGCGCTTCGACATCACTCTTTTGTTCCTTTCTTGACCTTGAAAATCCACCTACAACTTACTAACCTTGCTCCTGTAGGTTTCTCAATCAGCTCCGAAGTGTTACTATCATGAAGAGATTTCATCTCATAATCCATGACTAACCTTGGTGACTGGAGCAAATATTTCATTATAGTCAATACCTTCTTGTTAACTGTAACCTTGTGCAGTCATTCGTGCTTTTTTTCTAAAAACTTCTCCTTTCTCATTCAATTTGTTTCTAAACATCTGGTTGGTTCTAATGACACGAGTCCCCTTGGGCTTGGGCACCATATCCCAAACATCATTTCTAGGGAACTGATTTAGCTCTTCTTGCATTGCTAGAATCTATTCATTATCCTGAAGTGCTTCTTTACAAGAGGTTAGTTCTATCAGAGACACCAATCCCAAGAGCATTTCCTCAATTTGTTTGAATGTGGATCTTGTTCTGACAGATTCAGTTTTGTCTCCTAGGATCAATTCTTCAGAGACAGTTTGTCTATGCCTTTGCTTTTTCTGGACTTCTTGACATCTAGTTGTTTCTGATGTATCTTTATCATCATTCTTTGAGTCTTTGTCCTTAGATACTTTTTCCTTTTCTCGAGAGCATGCAAGGGTTATTTCTAGATCTGCAAAATTCTCAACTAGCTTTGACTTTTCTGAGTTAAGCTTATTGTCTAATCTAACATGGATTGACTCTTCCACAATACGTGTTTCTGTATTATAGTACCCCTAAGAGCATTCTGAGTATCCCAACATAATACACTTTTGTGCTTTAGAGTCAAACTTGTTAAGATTCTCTTTAGTAATTAGAATAAAACAAGAGCATCTAAACGGATGGAGATAAGAAATGTTGGGCTTTCTTATTTACAAAATTCATAAGGAGTCTTCTCCAAAATAGGTTTGATAGAGATCCTATTTTGAATGTAACATGGTGTATTCACAGCTTCTTCTCAAAAGTGCTTAGCCACTTTAGTTTTGTTGATCATGGTTCTAGCCATCTCTTGCAATGTCTTATTCTTCATTTCTACAACTCCATTTTGCTATGGAGTTTTAGGGCAAGAGAAGTCATGGGATATGCCATTAGAGTCAAATAACTCTTTAAACCATTTATTCTCAAACTCGCCACCATGATCACTTTTGACTCTAACGATCTTAGAGTCAAACTCATTTTGCACTTTAGAACAGAAACTCGTAAACACAGAATGTGATTCACTCTCGTGCCTTAGAAATTTTATCCATGTCCAATGTAACACCCCATTTAAATATTTAGCCATTTTTTGATTTTATTCATTTAGTTATTTTGGCATTGGATTAGTTAAGGGTATGTATGTAAGGGTGAGTGTGAGAATTTAGAATAATGAATTAAGTGGAATAAGTCTTAGAATAATATTATAATAATAAAAATATAATTAGTGGCGGATGAAATATTTCATTATTATTAGTAGTAGTAACATGAAATGTTTATCATTAATAATATTTGTAATATTATTATTATTATTATTATTATTATTATTATTATTATTATTATTATTATTATTATTATTATTATTATTATTATTATTAAAGAAAATAGAGATAATTAGGAAATAGTGGTAAGGAGGTTAGAGAAATCAGTTTCAGCTGAAAAGAGAAAGGAGAGAAGAAAGAAGCAGAGTAGGGCAAGAGGAGATCAAGAGTTTTCACCATTGTTAGGAAGAAATCAAGCTTGGAATTAAGGTAAGGGGGAGAATGGGTTCTTTAATGGTGATTAGAACATGAGAGGATAGTGAGAGTTCCTTTCTCTCTTATGATTTTATGTATAATTTTCTTCTTATTCTGTTTGATTCCTTAGTTGTGTGATTCATTGCAAAATTCGTGTTTGTGTGTTGGTAATGATATGGATTTCATGTAAACTGTGTGTTATTGCTATGTTTTGCCATGAGAACAGATCTGGAAAAGTGTTGTTTTTCAGAGATGACGAAATCATGATTTAATTTGTGAAAAACCTTAATAGGATGATATTTTAATGAAGTAGAGTGAAACCATTAAGAATATACTGTTATGGGTACTATTTTGGGTCGGAAATATGAGCTTGAAGGTGCTCCAATGGGTGAAAAATCAAACTGATGCGAAAAATTGGTTTTTGCTGTGCAGACTAGCCATACACGTATGTCAGGGGGCAATACGCGTATGGGGGAAGCTCCCAAGGGCGTTACGCATATGGTATGCGCACTGTCCCCATGGCCAGCACGATCCTGTGTTGGTACGCGTAGGCTAGAGGTCATTACGCGTATAAGGTAGCATTACGCGTATGGGGGCTTTTTAGAAGGGTTTTGAAGGGAAATCCCCTCTGGTCATACGCGTAAGGCCTGGGGCAATACACGTATGAAGATTACGCAACTGAGACCCTACGCGTACTATGCCCATGGCTGGGGCGACAAAACAAGGCCATACGCGTATGGACAAGCCTGTGATGTAATTTTTTGTTTTCGCAATTTGTTTCTTGATTTCGCGTGC